TATTTTTAGTATAAATATGAATACCCTTTATCCAATTTATATACAAGAAATCTACTTGCTTTAAATGACTTTCATTAAAAATATTTCTTTAATTCTAATAATATTCAATAATTTATAGATTGAGATTACAAAATTTTAGTTATTTATACTTCAAAAGTGCTATTATTTAAAATAACCAAGAAATAAGTCTTCATGCCTGAGGCAAAGTAATAATACATACTACATAATTTGTACATATCTTACAAAATTTGGACGCAATCTAAATATATATCCAATTAAACATATCAATAAATACGAAATAATTTGTGTATATCCTATAAAGTTTGAATTGAATCTAAACTATATAGCTATTTACAAACATATTAATAAATACAAAATAATTCCTGTATATCTTATAAAATTTGAATTGAATCTAACATATATATATTATTTATAAACATATGAAATAATTTGTGTATATCCTATAAATTTTGGATCGAATCTAAAATATTTATGTTATTACCCGAACTCAATAGTGAAATCAATATAAAAAAATCAATGTAGTTGCCCGGTCTCTTATCAATTAAGGAATCCAATGGCATCCTACGAAAAGCTGTGGAGACCAGAAGGGCAAGGAAGGTTCTACCGCGTAGCATGTTAACAGTTAAACATTCAAAGTCACAGTCAGTGCTCTTTTGCGTGTCACCTACTCTGGCTCTTTGCGCTTGATACGGTCAATACCCAACTTGTGCTATATAAAGTAAGTGAACCTTTCCATTTTTCCAGACAGTAAGGCACCCAGCCAATTCTAGGAAACTCCAAAGCATTCTTGCATCAGTTCTGCTCTAAAAGAAGAAGAAGAAAAAAAGAGCCGTCTTTGCATCTGCCTGTCTTAGCAAACTCAAGGTGCGTGCGTACGTGTGTAGATTTCTTATATTTTTTTCTATGGGTTTGGATGCGTCAAGATCGTTTAGTTTTTCATAAATAGCTTGGTGTTTTGATGTGTTTCTTGATGTTTCATGTGGGAAATGGAATCTGTGTCTTTCTTGGTTTGTGAGATGATGTAGAGATATATCTCCAAGAAAGAAAAAAGAATATTGTTTTTTGGTTAACTGCATAATTATAGCTCAGATTTCAGAAGGATGATCAAATTCAAAGACATCCCTTTTAAATCATCATAACTCTTCCTCTATTTTGGGCTAGCAGCAATTTCTTGGGTTTTTTTTTTTATTGTTACAGTATTCAAGGTCTATCCTTGAAAAGAGAAAATAGGGGGTTTCTTGGGAGGCAAAAGTTTCAACAATGGAACTGTTATTTGTCAAAGGTACTGTACTGGTTGAGGGGTGTGGGGGTGGGTTATGTAAGCTTTATTCTAGAAAGAATTTTTTGCCTTTAACATGTTTATATTATTTTTGATAATTTTAACTTCCTTTTTTGTTGAATAAATTAATACTCGTGTTTCTTTTTATATGCATATATAAATTTTATGATTAGGGGGCTAATTAGTTTCATGTTCATGAATAAATTTTATAAGATCTGGATTGTTTAATATCGTGTTGGCAAACATCGAAAAGAATATAATGGTCATGATAATGCCAGTGACAATGACAACAACAATAACAGGCTCGATGAAGGATTTTGACTTATGGCTAGTTGAGAAATGATGGAGGCATGTTGAGTATATGGGGGGCCATTCATTTGGTCTTGAGGATGGTGGCCTTGGGTTGTAATGGCTAGTGCTCTTGTTTGTGGGATTTGTCATGAACTCATGATGATTGGGGTGGATGGGGGGTGACTGCATCTGGTAGCAACAGTGCTTTTGCTCTCTGCAGTAGTATAGTGTTATTAGTTGTGAAAGGTCACACAGGATTTTGCAAATGTTTCTGAAATATAGAGTCCTTTTCTTATCCACATCTGGAAGTTGCCTGTCTATATTAATTATTTATTCCCTTCTTCTTGGAAGTAAAATAGAGACAGACAGGGAGTATGAAAGTGTTGAGGATATGAAACAACTTATGTCTATTAATCATGAAGACATCTTATACTATCACTGCGTCCTGTTGTTGTATTCCTTTAAATGTGGTTTGTCATACAGTTGAATTTAATCAGTATGCTTTTCTGGGCTTTTCTTTTGTTTATTCCTGCTGTCAACTATGATGGCAGTGGAGGTATTCTGAAGCCACAATTAATTGAATAAAAAAAGCTCATCCTTGTACAAAAGCCAGATCTCTTCTGTTGTAATTTGAAAGATCATGCTTCTACTATTTGGGTTCAAATTACACCTAACTGTAATGCCAATAATTATAACACACCAACTGTGGTGCTGTGTTCTTTAATAAATTCTTATTTCTTGATTATAGTCCAGTTTGTTGGTTGGATATTGATTTGGTTGTGTTTTGTCCTTTTATTTCAGGGAATCTGAACAAAAATCAAAGAAAGAATTGCATTTCAAAGTCAACACAAAGGATATGGAGCCAAGCCATGAGAAGGGAGAGAAGGTTGAGGTGGAACTTGAATTGAAGACCAAATCAGTAGAGAAGGAAAAGCCAAAGCATAAGGAGGACAAGGAGGATAAACATAAAGACAAGGATGAGGAGAAACAAGAAAGAAGGATAAAGAGTTAAAGGAGAAAGAATGGAAGACGGAAGACGATGATGAAAAGCAGAAGAAGAAAGTGGAAGGTGAGGAAAAAACAAAGAAGAAAGACAAGGAGAAAGAGAAAAAAGAAAAAAATCATAAGGATAAAGAGGTGGTAGAAGAAGATGAAGATGAAGAGATAGAAGAGAAGAAAAAGAAGGAAGACAAGGAGAAGAAAAACGAAAAAAAGCACAAGGATAAAGAGGTTGAGGTTGAGGAAGATGAAGAAAAAGATGAGAAGAAGAAGAAGAAGAAGAAGAAAGACAAGGAGGAGAAGGAGAAAAAGAAAGCAAAGAAGCACAAGGATAAGGAGCATGAGGTAGAAGAAGATGAAGAGGCAGAAGATAAGAAGGAAAAGAAGAAAGACAAGGAGGATAAGGAGAAAAAGAAAGAAAAGAAACAGGATAGAGGCTGAGGTAGAAGATGATGAAGGGAAAGAGAGGAGAAGGAAGAAGAAGAAAAACAAGAGGAAGGAGAAGAAGAAAAACAAAGAGGAGAAGGAGAAGAAGAAAGAAAAGAAGCTGAAGGATGAAGAGGAAGAGGAGAGAAGAAAGAGAAAAAAAAGAAAGACAGTGGGGGAAAGAGAAGAAGAAAGAAAAGAAGCAGAAGGAGAGAGAGAAGAGGAAAGAAGATGAAGATGAAGAAAACGAAGAGAAAAAGAAGAGAAGAAGAAAGAAAAGAAGGATAAAGAGGATGAGGTAGAAAAAGATGAAGATGAAGAAAAAGAAGAGAAGAAGAAAGAAAAGAAGGATAAAGAGGATGAGGTAAAAAGATGAAGATGAAGAAAAGAAGAGAAGAGAGAGAAGAGAAAGGCAAGGAGAAGAAGAAAAAACGAAGAAGGATAAAAAGGACGAGGTAGAAGAAGAAAAGATGTAGAAAAAGAGAGAAAAAGAAAGACAAAGAGGAGGAGAAGAAAAAAGAAAGAAAGCTCAAGGATGAGGAGGGAGAGAGTGGAGATGTTGAGAGAAAGAAGAGAAAAGGAAGAAGAGAGCAAAGAAAGGCAAGGATGATAAGGAGAAGAAGAAAGACAAAAGAGAGAAAAGCAAACAAAGCACGAGGATGAAGAGAAGAGCAAGAAGAAAGAAACTGATGAGGAGGAGGAGAAGAAGAAACACGAAGATGGAGAAAATGACATGAAGTGTGAGACTGACATAACCTCCAGGGAAATTGAAATAGTAGATTTTGAGAAAGAATCAGAAGGTGAAGGAGAGGAAGAGAAGCAGAAGGGTAAAGCAAAAGAAGGCAAAGAGAAAGAAGAAGGAAAAGACAAGAAAGGTGAGAAAAGAAAACTTGAGGGGAAGGACAAGGGTAAAAATCTTAGCAAGCTAAAACAGAAGTTAGAGAAAATTAATAGCAGAATAGAAGCCCTACTACAGAAAAAGGCAGAAATCCTGAGCCAGATTAAAGAAGCTGAGGGCAAGAGCAGTGAAGTTGCTGAGTAAGTACAGATATGGACTTACTCTGGCATAGCACTATGTGATAGATGTTCTCCATTTCCAATCTTTCTCTCTAATAATATATACTAATGGGCTAATACATACTTTTATCGCCAAAGTTCATATATCCATCACTCTGATGTAGCTACAAATTTACAGAATAGGATATGTAGAAACTCTAGACTTGTATATGACAATAATCAAGAGTTCCGGTCAGTATTGATGATACTGTTGCTGTAAAGTTTGATTTATGATTTATGTTTTTAATGTTTAACTGTACTTCTTGAGTTTTAAGTTGCATATTTTACAATTGTTATATGAGTTCTTACGACAAGCTTGTGTTGCAGATATAACAGAAAAATGACAGGCTCTTGGGTTTGGCTATTAGATGAGGTGTTTCTTTTGTTTTGTTTTTTCCTTTTCTTAATTAGAAGATGAGCAATTGCATTCACTATGTTGGAGATTTAAATTTGGAATCTCTTAGAGCCTCAGCTTATCGAATGAAAATGATAAATAATTGCAGTCAAAAAGACTCGAGAGAACTTCCATTCTCTGCCCGTAATTTGACAGATCGTAGCAGTGTGATAAAAAAGCAGACAGTCTCTTGCATGGAACCATCATCATCATCCTCCAAATTTATCAGATATAATTTAAACACTTTATTTATAAAGCAGAAAAAACAGAACAGAAATTTTCATAAGAAAGGGGAAGAGATAATTGTCCAGACTAGCAGATTGTTGTTGGCTGGTTTCCTGATGCCTTTATTGAAGCGCAGGTCCGTTAAAAGTGAACCGGAACCTGTTACCCAGCAACTTCCATACACTTGCAGATATGGGGGTTAAGGCAGGTATTGGAACTCACAGTATGTCAACCACAAAACAGATGTTCGGACTCTTGAGATTGGAAACTAAACAGAAGGCCTCGAGTAAGCACAAATGAGCAGGATACTTTATAACAAATATCATTTGTAGTTGTGACAAATGTAAATTTTTTTAATAAGGTGCTAAATGTAATTGATAATGACTTCAAACAACTTGAGAGTAGAAATACTATGCAAAAGATTGCCTACTAAGCTTTGGTTGGTTTAGTGGTCAGGCCGAACCCAAATGGGAAGAGGGGATCATAATGTGAATCTCCAACATTCATTGGCAACTGATCAACAGTCTTGAACCAAGTGAATGAAAGCTTGCCAGTAAAACCATAATCACCAAACAGGACATCAGCAACACCTTGACCCTCACTTCCCGGCAGCCAAGCAGCGACAATAGCATCGATGTAGCGAACATAAGGTTGGATCACAACAGGACGACCGGATACTATGACAACAACACATTTCACAGCCCCACAAACATTTCCAATTGTGCTTGGACCAGGCTCTGGAATTGTCAAATTTAAGCTGTCTCCATTTGTCTCTGCATATGGATACTCCCCTACTACAACAATGGCATATGAGAAATCGTTGGACTTGACAAATTCAGCATCAGGTTTCTCCTTGTATACAACTTTTGTTTTTGGATCAACTGTTTTCTTGATAGCAGTGAGGATTGTAGTACCTGTTCATGAAAAGGGTTTTGCAAAGGTTAAATGCATAGGTTCTAAGCATTCTTTATCAAATTCTAAAAGCAATACCTAGAAAAGTAATTTGTGGAAATATTTATTACCATCTGTGATGTTATTGCCACCTAGTCCCTGCCACTCAATTGTCCATCCACCACATTGGTAACCCAGATTGTTTGCATGGCTACCAGCTACTAGTATCTTCGGGGCCTTCTTAGGTAAGGGAAGTAATGGAGCATCGGCAGAGTTTCCATTCTTTAGCAGCACAAGTGATTTTCTCACTGCTTCCCTAGCCAACTCTCGATGTTCCTGTTGAATTGGTTGGGTCAAATCAGGATATAATAATCATCTTGGTGTTGAAAAAGCATGCTAAGCTAGTTGGCTAACCTGACTTCCAAGTTGGTCAACCAAGCTGTCATCTGCTAGCGGGTCCTCAAACAGACCCATCACAAACTTAACACGCAAAATCCTCTTCACTGCATCATCAATGCGGCTCATGGGGATGAATTTATTTTTCACCAGGTAGGTCAGTCCATCAATGAACTCTGTATAGTTGTTTGGAACCATAATCTGAAAGACAAAAAAACAGTAGGCATTAGAATGTAGAAGATAAAAATGAGCAGAAGCATAAAATTCAGCAGTTAACAAACTAACCATGTCAAGGCCGGCATTGATTGAAGCTTGAATAGAATATGTATAGTTAGCATGAGGTGGAGATGTAATCCTGTCAATACCCTCCCAATCCGAGATGACAAAGCCCTGAAACAATGTGCAACATGTATTAAAAAATTGCTTCAAGTTCTTCTGTATGGTAAACTAGAGATAGAGAAGCCAGATTTAAATCCTGTAGAGGAAATAGTTGTACCCTGAAACGAAGTGTTTTCTTAAGAAAGTTGGTGACCATCTCATGATTAGCATGATTCTTAACTCCATTCCAGCTTGAATAGGAAGTCATGACGGTTGAAACACCTTTGATAATTGAATTATGGTAGGCTGGCATATGAATGCTAAGCAAATCGTTCCTGTCTATCACCGTATTGTTCTCATTGATTCCCCTGGTTGTTCCACCATCACCTACATAGTGCTTAGCACAAGCTGCAACATGTTTCCTGGACAGCAAAAGAGGTAAAAAACAGACAGAGGAATTAGCTTTTACATTACTTATATTCAGGCAGGAGCTGCAAATTTTATGATAATATATAAATAAATTTAATTATTTAGGCAATATTAAATATGAGCATTAATTTTTTACATGTCCATTGGGAAAACCCACCAAATTTTCGAACAGAAAAATGTGATGTTTTGCCATCACTGGCTACAAAATGTATACTTTGAATGATTGTATAGTTCTAGTTTGAAAACTTGCTTACTTTCCAGCAACAAATGGAAAACCCTTGAGAGAGTTAGAAGGGATGTCTCCTTGCAATCCTGATATAATCTCAGTCATTGCTTGAACAATCTTGTGATCTTCACTGTAACTTTCATAGCATCGACCCCATCTTGGATCTCTACATACCTGTCCAATATAGTGGGATTTTGCTTATACTATAGAGGTAACACATACTAGAACGTGAGATTCCTAAGGTGCAGTTTGGCACCATGATGCAGTGCACTGCACCCCTTGGAACCATTTGGGTCCAGAGTTCGATTTTTGAGATGGTTCAGATGAGATTTATAAAATGAGAGAGGGTTACCTCTCGTTGTTGAGTCCAAAATTACATGTACTTATAAAAAAGGAAGGCAAAAGTGGAAGGTACCGCTATACAAGGTGCAAAAGCATATGGAATGCCTGTAGCTCTGACTTCAAGTGCTGTTGCAGCTCCAATCTTCTTAACTAGTGCAGGGTCCCTGGTTTAGAAAAAAGAAGCACCCAATCAATGTATTAATAAAAGCAAATAGTTAAATTGTTAAACTTCCACAGGTTGCTTAATCTTAAGGTCATGGACTGACTCATGAACCCAACACAGATAAACTGATGTTAATTACCATCAATAGCATTGACAAGAGAATGGCTAGTAAGAATGAAAGATATTAGCAAAGCAAATGAACTAGCCTGGTAGCACCTAGACCAATGTTGTGAGGGAAAATGGTTGCCTTGTAGACATTGTTGTGTCCATGAACAGCATCAATCCCATAAATCATTGGAATTCCTAATCGGGTAGATAATGAACCCTTCTGAAATTCATTGACCATGTTGAGCCAAGTCTTTGCTGAAGCTTTTGGAGCTGGGACACTCCCTCCTCCACTCAATACACTACCTGCCAAAGAAGAATCCTTTGCCCATTGAGTCTGACTCACCCAAAATCTATTAAATTTCTTTGACTAATTGCATTCGTTATATTTACTTATTCATGTATTCTCATAAAAACAAATTAACAGATGAGGCCACTTACCAATGAAATACTTTTTCATCACCTCGGCTGAAGCAACAGCCCGATCAATCTGGACCATCTGTCCAATTTTTTCCTCTAATGTCATCCTTCCAAGCAGGTCCTTGATTCGAACGTTCAATGGCTGCTTTGGATCCTTATACTTCACATGTTCTGCCTTTCCTGAGGCTGCCAAGCAAAAGCAAAGCAGAATTCCCACAAAAAAGATGGGGATTGATCTTCTTGCTCTTGCCATTCTATCCCTTTCAATGTGATTCTCACTAACTAGGATCCCAGTTTCAAGTAGCAACAGTTTCTGTAACCCTGGTCTGCAATAAAGATAAAGAACAATTTTAACCTTCAATGGCAATCAATTTATAGTTTGTGAAACGTGGGAAACATTATTAGAAGATAAACACAATAATTAATTATAGGATATCAAGTTTGGTCATGCCCCTATCAAGAATCAACTGCAAAAAGTTCGATCTCAATCATGGGGACCAAAATAGAGTTTGTACCATTCAGAAACTCAAGCATAACAATTCATATTTATCTTATTTACTTGCTTTTTACTATATTTTTTCCTTCACAAGATAAGATAAAGATTAGCTGATAAATAGAAAATCATTAAACGATTAAACAGTTCCAATTGTAATATTAGACTAATTTAAATAGATAAGGAAACAATCACTTACTTCCATGACAGTATCTGACTTAAATCCCAATTTTTCTAAATCACTTCATAAACCAATTAAAATGGAACCATGTATCAGTGAATGACTTGATTCTATACTTATAGAGTAATACTATAAGAAGTCTTGTGCAAATTTGCTACCATACTATCTCACCAAATTGTATGTAACGTTTGAATTTTAGGAGGACAGGGATCATGATGAACGGAGTTAGCTTTCTTATAATGCACTTTCACTGTGATGGGAGGATTTTCCAATGATACAATCTCTCTAATTATTAATTAATATCGTTGGTATAGGCCCCCATATTATGTTCCGCTGTCGGGATTGTTGAATATGTAACAAAATGTAAACATTTAAGAAATAATAATAATTATTATTTACTATCAAGAATTTCCAAGTACAGTGGTAATTCCAACAATGGTAAATCATGATGGCAATGATTTCATACAATTAGAAGTCCTTAGTAGTGATTTGCTCATTCGAAGGTTCTGTAGTAAGGCCAAACCCAAATGGGAAGAGAGGGTCATAATGTGGATCCCCGACATTCATCGGCAGTTGGTCAACAGTCTTGAACCATGTACGAGGAAGCTTGCCTGTAAAACCATAGTCACCAAACAGAACATCAGCAACACCTTGGCCCTCAGTTCCTGGGAGCCAAGCGGCGACGAGAGCATCGATAGAGTTGACATATGGCTGGATGACAACAGGGCGACCGGATATGATGACAACAACACATTTCACAGCTCCGCAGACATTTGTGATTGTGGTTGGACCAGGGTCTGCAATTGTCAAATTCATGCTGTCGCCTTGTGTTTCAGCATATGGATGCTCCCCTACTACCACAATGGCGTATGAGAAATCGTTGGACTTGACGAATTCAGGGTCGGGATTCTTCTTGTATACGACTTCGGTGCTTGAATCAACTGTGTTCTTGACAGCAGTCAGGATTGTTGTTCCTGTTCGTAAGAATGGTTAATGATTAGGTTCCTATAATGGACCCTTATATAAAAGCTAGAAATAAATTGCAGAATCCATTCATTATCATTCCCTCCCCACTTCCCCCTTACCAAACAAGAAAGGGAAATAACAAAACATTACTTTCCTACCTCTTTCTCTCCTACCAAACATAATGTAAGACAATGGGGGTAAACTGTTTGCTTACCGCTTGTGAGGTTGTTGCCGCTCAAGCCCTGCCACTCAATTGTCCATCCACCGCACTGATAACCCAAATTATCTGCATGACTACCGGCAACTAGTATTTTCGAAGTCTTCTTAGGTAGGGGAAGCAATGGATGATCGGTGGATTGACCATTCTTTAGCAAAACAAGTGATCTTCTCACTGCTTCTCTAGCCAACTCTCTATGCTCCTGTTGAATTTAATTGGGAAAAATTAGGACATTATAAAATCATCCTAATGTTTAAAAAACAACCTAGCTATATTAAACTAACCTGACTTCCAAGTTGGTCGACCAAGCTGTAATCTGCTAGTGGGTTCTCGAATAGACCCATTACAAACTTAACTCGCAAAATTCTCATCACTGCATCATCAATGCGGCTCATGGGGATTATATTGTTTTTCACCTGGAAGGTTAGTCCGTCGATGAATTCTGTATAGTTGAATGGAACCATGACCTGCAAGAGTGATATAACAAGCATTAATTATATGAATAAGTAAAGCATAAAAATTCTACATTTGATAACCTAAGTCTCTAACCATGTCAATGCCAGCTTTGATTCCAACTTGAATTGAATATGAATAGTTAGCATGAGGTGGAGATGTGATCCTGTCAAGACCTTCCCAATCCGTGATGACAAAACCCTGAAACAATGTTCAACATGTGTGTATAAATTTCTCAGGTACTTTTGTACAGTGGTAATGATGGGGAAACTTTTATCTCAATCCTATGAGAAACAGCTATACCCTGAAACGAAGTGTGTTCTTGAGAAAATCGGTGATCAAATCGTGATTAGCATGCATCTTAATTCCATTCCAGCTCGAATAGGAGACCATGATGGTTGAAACACCTTTGATAATAGAAGTATAGTAACCTGGCATATGAATGCTAAGCAAACCATGCCTGTCTATTACAGTGTTGTTCTCATTGATGCCCTGGGTTGTCCCACCATCACCTACATAGTGCTTAGCACAAGCTGCAACATTTCTCCTGGACAGCAAAAAGAGGGGAAAAAGACAGAGGAATTAGTTTCAAATTTTACAAGCTGCATCAGAAACTTGTCATTGACAATCTGTGATTTGATTAATATCTCAGAGCTTCCAGGTATTCTGAGTTCATCTCTAAACCAAGCAGTGAAATTTTTTTGTACTGTGGATACAAAAGTGTCCTCATCTTCTATTTTTATTTGCTTTTTCAGGAAGTGGAATGCAGGTTCACACCATTAATTCTTCCACCAAAAACATAAGTCCAATAGTGTAGTTTTTGTGTATAAATATTATTATTATTATAGAGAAATAGACAGCACTTTCACCAAAGTCTTATTCAACATCAACAAGCAACGAGGAATAAGATCACCGTGTCATACATTAATGATGGAAAAGGTTGCCTTTTTGCTTTTCATGACTTTCAATGGAAAAATAGGTAAGGTTGAATTTGTATTACAGCTAACTATGAAAAGATTATGTCTAAATCTGAATTTTAATTGTACTTTGCAAAAATTGCTTACTGTCCAGCGACAAATGGAACCCCCTTGGGAGAGTTAGCAGGGATGTCTCCTTGTAATCCTGGTACAATCTCTGTCATTGCTTGAACAACCTCGGGATCTTCGCTGTAACTTTCATAACATCGACCCCATCTTGGATCTCTGCAAACCTGTTAAAAAAATGTAGTAAAAGGGATTAGTACTGAGAAGTGGTTCTTGATTTAGCAAAGATTACTAGTTCAATTTGCTTACGTATACCATTATAAGTAGTTCGTACATACATCCCCAAAAAATGAGAAAGAGCAGAGGAAAAAAACAGGAAAAGGTGAATGAAAACTACCGCTATACAAGGTGCAAAAACATATGGAATGCCGGTAGCTCTGACTTCAAGTGCTGTTGCAGCCCCAATTTTCTTAACTAGTTCAGGGTCCCTGGTTTATTAGAAATTAAAAAATGTTCTGAACCACATCAAGGAACTAACTAAAGCAAAGCTATTAGTATATTCTCCAGCTTCCATAGGCTAATAAGCCCAACAGCTAAAAGAAACTGACAAATATGCAGTATTACACTGCAGCAATGACTAAAGAATGGCTGGTGAGAATGGAAAATATGAGCAAAGTGCATCTACTTGCCTGGTAGCTCCTAGTCCAATGTTGTGAGGAAAAATTGTTGCATTGTAAACATTGTTGTGGCCATGAACAGCATCAATCCCATAAATCATTGGAATTCCTAAGCGGGTAGATAAACAACCTTTCTGAAATTCATTGACCATGTCAACCCAAGCCTTTGCAGAAGCTTGTGGAGCTGGGACACTACCTCCTCCACTCAACAGACTTCCTGCACGCCAAAGCAAAATCCTTTTTTCCCTTGAGATACTCAAAATTGCGACATTTGGTAAAAACATTTTTCTCTTCTCGGAAGTGTTATAAACGAAGTGTGATGGATGATGCTTACCGATGAAATACTTCTTCATCACCTCAGCTGAAGCAACTGAGCGGTCAATTTGGACCATTTGTCCTATTTTTTCCTCTAATGTCATTCTGTCCAACAGGTCCTGAGCTCGGACAGGCAGTGGCTGTTTTGGATCTTTATACTTCATATATTCTGCTTTTGCTGAGATTTCAAAGCAACAACAAAGCAGAAGTCCCATCAAGAAGATGAACAATCTTGGTCTTGCCATTTTGGTTTTCTTCCTACTACCTTCAGATTAAAGAAGAATACAATGCTTTTGAGGTAACAAAAAGTTGTTGTAACATCAATTCTAAGCAATAAATATGCAGGAAAATTTTGACCTTCAACTATAATTCTGAGAAGCACAAGGCAATTAAGCAAAGAGGAGTGGGAACAGATATGCGAACACCAATCCACAATATGAGAAGAGGGAATATAATCTGACATATCGTTTGATCATGTAATCAGTAATTTACCGCATAATTCAAATGATTTTTGCACGAAAAGTATGTTATTCCAAGATTTAAGAATTAAATAAGGTTATACGTGGAGAAAAGGTGAAAACTTGGAAACAGAAAGGATGAAGAAAAGTATAAGCATCATCTTAAATTCCATAGTTTCTTCGGGACAAAAAAACAGTAAAAACCAAGATTCCTAAGAAAAAACAACCAAAAGAAAGGAATCAAATGACCCACTACAGTGGCACTAAGAATTGCAGAGCATCCATTTATGAAGCTGCTCAGAAACTCAAACAACCAAATATATGCAATGAAAAGTACATATTAAAATTGACAAAAGCATTCAATCATAAGTATTCGAAGCTTTGAAAGAAATCCCATTATTATTAAAGGATGAAAGGGAAAGAAACCAATGAAGGAAGGAACAAGAATGAATCAGGCTTGTCTTGCCATGTGATCATAATTGCAACTATATAAATGTTTGGTTTTGAAGGAACAAGCAATTACAACAATCTGAATTTTCTTGGTTTTTGCTGATGTGGCATACATGAAATGAGGAACATTAATGTAACTGAATGTAAACAGCTGATCATGTTTAGTTGAATGATATATGCCATTCTTTATAAGTTTCTAACAAGAAGAAGAGAAACTATTGCTATGGCTGGTTTCCTTCTATATTTTCTCTGCTAAAATGCAGACAAGGCAAAATATCAAGCAGGAAGAAGCAAGAAAAGGAAGAGAGTTTAGAACATACAAAAGAAAAAAATCCCAGAACTCCAATGGCTTTTGTCCCTTAGAAAGAGACACAAGACAGAAACAGAGAGAGAGAGAGAGTTAAGATGAGAAATAGCAGCTTGGGGGTGAAAGGGAGGATAAGCTAGTATTTATAAAGCATTTCTTTTGCCTTTTTGAGTTTGCATTAGAAAAGAAAAAGTTGAAAACAATAGAAGAGTCAAGGGGGAGAAAACTGGAGATGTGACTGCTAAGCAATAACCCTCCTTTGATAATGAATTCTTTTTGGTGTCAGTATTTTATGAGCCACATCACAATAATTCATTCTTCCAATTTTTAATAATTTAATGCTTTGGTTTCCCTCTCTATTGATGAATTAGCAACAACCATCACAATACAACCATCAGGCACTAGACTTTCCCCCCCTTGACGGTGCCTTCTTTCTTCTAAAAGAAAAATAAGCACAATAAACAAATGATATTTTCATCAATCATATGCTTAATTTAATGAAATAGAGATAAGATTGCAACTTCAAAGATTATACTGTTGTGATCTTGCACAGAGGCCAACCTGATTTTTTGGTAAAAAAAATATTAAAATAATCTAAAGTTTTGTCTGCCATTCTGACCTGTCGGTGTCTTCCAAATGATTCTATCACACCAAACAAAGAGATGGTCAAAAACATTTTTCATCTTGTTTAAGTGAATCATACATTTACAAACTTAATTTCTGTGATAATTAAAGTCAAAATTATCATCTCGGTCATATAGATAAAAGGAATTAATTTTTTTTTCTTGATTTAAACAACGAGCCATGATGGATCATTGGGACTAGAATGTTAAAATCTCTTCTTATAATTAGAAAACAAAATTCGGGTTTATTTAATTTCGTTTAGTAAGCTGATTACAATATCAAAATTTGTGTATGAAAGCATTCCAAAAAAATGAAAAGAAAAAACAGACTTGTCGATATGGGGGGCTAAATATCTTTGATAAAAATTCGAAGTTGATTTCATCATGTCCTTAGCTTAGCTAGGCATCTTTCTAAATGCTCAAAGAGATTTTGTAGCTAATGGACAGGTTAGTGATCTAAAGAGGTAGTAATCTTGCTTTTAATCTATAATTAATGCCTTTTTGTTAGCTGGCCGCTCACTTTCAGAGAAATGCTTATCAACATTTATTGGAAACAGGGGATTCCCCGTTTCTAATGGCAGGCCAAAGACCAACTTTTAATTAGTGGTTTGTCATGACCAGTGATATATCTTCAATATCTATGCTTGAGAAGAAAGTTTTTGAGGAAGAAAAATCGAAAAAGTAGTTGAGCAATCACAAAAATGCTGTCATAATCTATTAAAAATTACTTATTTGTATTTTACGTAAGTATTCAAAAAGGAAAATTATTAAACATCCCGTCATTTCATATTAATTAAATTTTCCCTTTGAATTCAAATGTTTTATTAAATATACTTCTTCTAGAGAGCAAAAAAGATTGAAGTTCGACTATTCGAATAAAGATATATATATATATATATATTTATCATTAAATTACATGTTTAAGTGCAAATTATTTCATATAAGTAATAATTATGATTTGAAAAAGAAATGATCAATTAGTTTTCCGAACTTCCAAACTTATGAAGTTTTTGTTTTCATGGTAAGTTGTTTACAATTGATTAAAGTCAATAAAACACATCTAAATCTTAGAAGAGGAGAACTTGGGGAAGATGACGGCGACCATTGTTGAATTATAAAGCATTCTTATCATAAAAATACGGATTGAATTTTACCAGATGCTGACTACAAACCACAACTTTCTTGCCTCAAACAATTTTATCTTGCTTGCATGCTCCGTACACAACTGTATTTTGACATCAATTCTAAGAATGGGGTTTTTAGTTTAATTAATCTAACAGTGGCTACGAGGTTGTCTGGTCAATTTGATCTATCCACATACTTTGGATCAATAAGACACGTTAATCTTATTCAGTTTCTGTTTCAAGTTGTCTCAGCTGGAGAAAACAATGGTAGCAAATGTACCCAAAGATGATGTTGTTTTTGTCTTTGCAAAGTTCATAGCTGGCCCGAGCTTTTGCTTGGAAGGGGATGAACTAGTTCGATGTGTCTCAACACTCAAAAGCCATGTATCTAGCTGTCCCAGGGACCCAAAATTAGGCAAGCTTGGAGCGGATTTTTCCAGATCCCTTGTGAACTCAAGCTTTAGTTCAACCAATGAATTAAACAGGGTCGTGAATGACTTGTTGTTTAATTGCAATTATTGAACTCCATTTTAGGGCTTCTGATCTATGTTTGCAGTGCAAAATTAGGACAGGGTGTCAATGTCTTCTGGTTGGGAAAAAACAGAACATTAGACTGAGTTTTCTGAATATCCATCTTTTGTTTCTTTCTTCTTCTAAATGTGAATAAATGTACCTGGAACAAGCTGGTTTGAATCAAAAAACTTGCCCTTTAAAGTAGTTTTGTACCTAGAGGAAGTCAAATTTCACAGTGCCAATCCAAACTTTGTCGGTGAATTACAAGTGCTCTAGCACTTTGCATTCCAAGTAGACAAACGGGTAAAAAGTAGATGATCTGTTGTTTTCTCTGCACCACTTCCTAGGAAACAATCAGTGATTCTGACAGGCTGCAAGCCCCATCCTAACTTGGAAATTGGAACCAAATCAACTTGTGCCAATTAATTTTGTTTTTCTTTTTTGTGTTATTGGATTAATCCCACGATCTGTATTAGCCTTTTTGGGAATCCTTATAGTTTGAGACAAAGCAACTAGGAAGTAAATGAAGTAGCCAGGATTGGTTGCAATAGCTTCGACCAAAGGTACTTGGTGCAGACCATTGACGTTGTTGGCATTTTCTTATTGCTGATGTTTACAAGAACAATGACACGGTGGTTAAGTAGATTTTCAGGTGTTACAAAAGGAGCAAGACAACAAAGGCCAGAAGAAACTAAACACTCCAAAGCAACAAAGAAAGCTTCAGAGCAATAAGAAACAACTAATGACCTAGACTACCCATGTTTGGCCACCAGTCTTGACTTAAGTGTCGATATTAATGCTTATCAGCTATGTATGTCTGCAATGCAATTAAGACAGGCATACATTTAGTAATATGTTTTAAAAAAAAAAAACAAAACAATAGGACTGAGTTTTCAGACCATGATTCCTTTCTTCTTCCTTCAACAAATGTGATTTGTGTAGCTGGACCGAGTTGGTTTGATTTGAAAGGCAACAAATTACTTGCCTTCCAAAGCAGTTTTTGCCTAGAGAAATTCAATATGGCAAATCCTAATTGGTCATGAATTCAAAGTTTTTTAGCATATAATTCCAAACAGTTTAAGAAACATTCAAAAGCAAACGACATCTATGAACTAACCTTATTAATGTATTAACATTCAAAGAAGTTATTCCTTGCTCCCCTGCGGCTGCTTCTGTCAGCTTGGTGATGTTCTTCAAGCGGTGCTGGTTCAAAGGTTGATCTGGGAGGCTTTTTGCTGCTGAAAATTCCTGCTTCACTTTAGGAGGATCCCATTTTGCTCCTTCACTATCCGCATTGCTTGTTTGCTAAGGAGATCTGTCGGCACATCCATTGATTGTTGGCTTTCGACTTCAAGGTCTGATGGCTCCTTTGCAGGAAGCAATTTTTGCTTTAGGATCTCGATGGTTTCCCTTAGGATCTGGTGATTGGATATGGGTTGTTTTGTTTTACGACTGCCAAGCTTTCTTGGATTTTGGGTTAGAGAGGCATGCTTGATGTTCTAGGTAGGATTTTAGGAAAGGGTGAGAGCTTCATTTTGATTGTTCAGCTCAGGTTAGGGAAAGAATCTTCTTTTGTTTTGGGGGAAGCAGTCTCCTCATGTAATTGTTTATTCTCTCCTCTCAGCACAAGCTTGAATCCCTACGCCAGCAGGAGTCTTCACAAGGTTAAAGCCTTTATATGGCATAGCAGCTTAGTGCCAATAAAATCACTTTTCAAACAAAAAAAAAAATTCAAGCCCCAGGTCTAGGCTTCTGTAAAGCAGGTGCTCTGCTAAGTACTGCAAACCTGGTTATGAAAAGAGTACTTAGGAACAGGATGTAGGGACCAAACTATCTCGCGCCAATCAAATGCGTTTCTGGTTATTCTTTTAGAATTCCCATGGATCAGCAGCTTTACATTTACCAGCCTATGAATTATAATCCAATTAATAAACAGAATTAGCATTATCAGCTATCAGTCATGGGAATTATGTACCCACACAACGGCTTGGACATAATAAATTACCTGAACTAACTTCCAAAGAGGAAGAGACGATTGAATTAGTTGGTGATACCTATCTGCTTTTGTCGTTGATATTGGCAAGAATTATAATCTTATTGTTTTTCCAACAACGTGCTACCAGTCAGAGCCTGACCTCTTGGAACAGTGGCTGGCTGTTATCCATTGAGCAGACCAGGCCCTCATCTTGGGTCAAAGAGAAGAAATCATTGCAGTGACGTTATGCCGATTTGCAAGTCATCCAATTTTTTTATATATCTTGATATCCTTTAAGAATTACAAACAAGCAAGCAATTATACTATCATACAAGGATTAATTATCACTTATTAATAAATTTATTCATTACCTCCTTTTTGCTTAGCAAAAAAGACTCTGCAAGTTACACGTAAAAGTAACAAGAAAACACAGTAGTTCCCTATATAATATCTATATAATATAATCGAAGTGCTTTCACTTAACTAGACGTAGAAAAAGACTGCCCCCTTCCCCTTCAACCTACATGATCCTGTCAGACAATGCTGGCAGCCTTCGGAAGAAGTTCATCGCCGGCGATGGCATCCGGTCCCGGAACAGTGGGTGCCGGAAATAGTAGAATCCAAATGCCATTGCTACCATCTTCGGCGACACCAAGTACAACAAGAATGCCACCACGAAACATAATCCTACAAAAATCCCCGTGGCACGAGGGTCCCGCCACGTCACCAAAGCTTGTACACGTTCGCCTTGCGTGGCGAAATCACCCAATATGTTTTGCACACGTGCTCCAACCGCACGTAACTTGTCGTACCTCACACGTATGATTTCCGGTGATTGGGTGCTCGGCATTGTGTCGAATTCTTCATCAAGTTCGTCACGATCAACGGTGTCCGCCAATGAGATCTTAGGGCAAAAGTGGGGTAGCTTGTCCCTTGATCTAAACCTATAGTTCCAAACTCCAATCACAAACACATAAAATGCTAATGTGGGGACAATCAAATCAGGGAACCAAACAAGCATCACCAGCAATGCATGCACAAGTATCGTAGCCGTTGGATTCTTCCACGCACGTGTATTCTCAATCCACCTTACGATATCGATTAAACCCGATAGCACATTGACTATCCTTGACCAATTCGCACGTACTTTCCGCATGCTAAACGTGTGTGAATCCGCATCAAGCATGTAACGTACCACGTCACTCCTGAGAGGGGGCTCCGATCGTGACAAGTGGGCGGCCAAGAGTTTCACAGTTGTGCTCCTCAACATCTCTTGTTGGGCCATTCCCAAAGGCTTGATATGGTGCATCAACGGTAACAAAGGCTGAGAGTACACGTGTAAGAAATCTAACGTTGGAGCCGCACGGACAAACCTTACAGCCACCTCTAGCTCACCCATTTTTTGTACTCCACAATTACCCAACATCACCAATGGATACGTATTCTTATACACCTTACCCGTCTCCAACGTTGATATACGTATTCGTACTTTACCCATACGGGAATCAGGACGCGTGGCTTCTATTCTCCCGTCGATATCCAACGCTCCCCAACTATCAAATACGCCAATTGTCAACACTGTACATGGATCATACACCTTCCACGTGTACTGCTCATTCCATTTCGGATCCAAAGAATCCGATACTGTACGGGTTCGGACCCATTTCGACCCGTATTTGGCCACGGTGTATGCATCTGTGGACCCTTTGCTGTTTATCGTTTTCATCGGTAACAAATTCTTACAGCCAATGATCCCAAGCTCAAGTGTCCCGACCGCTGGTTTCCACAATTGTCTTGCTGTCGGTCGATAATCGCTGCAAACGTGCGCCGCCTCGTCCATCACGTGATATCCACCGTCAAAACAAAGGCTCAAATGTACTCTACCTTTGTACCCTTTTTTCTCGTTTTTGGGGTCCTCGAGATTGAACCATCGGGATATTACTTTCCGATCATCGACGCGACGTTCAATAGCGGTTAGCGATATTCCGACGACTCCCAACGTCACCGGTCCTTTTGATTGCCGGTACTCAAGGTAGAATATTAAATGGTCGCCAAATGGCTCGGCGGCTACGAACATGAGATCTTCATTCCATGACGGATTGCCGTTGCGGGAAACGGAAACTTTAGTTTTCTGCACTTGGAATCCCATTTGGACTTTGATTTGAAACGAGCCTTCTTTTAATGCCGTTAACGGCAAAATGTCTTGCGCTTCGAGGACGGAAGCTCGAAGGTACCAAAGCTTAGGGGAGAGATAAATTTTGGCGCGGGAATTGATAGGGTTGCCAGCAGTGTCCGATTTCCATGAATCAGGAAATGCCTCGTCAGCTTGGGTCCCGATCCAGGTGGCAAGCATCAGATCTCCTCTATGGGCTCCACCTCCTTCCAACCTGTACCATTGCGGAGCCAACGGGCTGTCCGGTGGGTCCCGTAAAGGAATCTCAGTCGCATCGAAGCAAACTCCACCCAAGAAATTGGCGCCGCCCGCATCGGCCCAAACCGAAACTTCTAGAAAAGACGACGTTTCAGGTGCGTCGCGGGCGAAGGCGAACGTCTGGTCCCACTCAAAATACATGGCTTTTCGAGCCGGCTTTGATGTGACGCGGCAACCGGAGATGGCGATCTTAACGACAGGGTTGCCATTGGTGGGGAGGGAACCGGCTTTCACCACTTTGACGAAGACATAATGCATTTTTTCAACGAGATCAAATGAGGATTGTTCGATCGGGGTGTGATCAGGTGGGCCCACCGAAGAAGCATAATTGGTGGGGGTTGCTGGCCGTGTGATTGGCGGCGGAGCAGAGGTGGTTCGGGCAACTTTAATTTCCGGAATGGACCCAGATGTTGATGCCATGATCTCCGGTGGGGGGGTTGGGGCCCAATTTGCTGACGTGGGCTCAAGCACAATGTCATCATCGGGATGATCAGGTTGTGCGGATTGTGAATCTGCTTCTGGATCCACTTGATCAGCTCCTTCTGCGGGCTTTTCACCATCAGCTGCACCATTTTCTTCTCCCGCTGGCGCAGCTTCCTTAGCTTTCTCACCTTCCGCAGGCGGCTCACTCGGCGCCGGCGCTGGATCCCCCACTACTGAACTTGCCGGCGAGTCATTAGGCTTCACCTCAGCGGTAGCTGGCTGTTGGTCAGAAGACACAGGGGCCGCTGCCGAATCCGACGGAGGCTCCGCCTTCACCTCCTCCGCCTTCGTCTCCTCCACAGGCGGCGTCGCCACTGGCGGAGGTGGCGCCACTTCATCAGCATAATAAATCTTCAAACCAATCTCACCTTGAACCCAACTAAGCAAATATTTCTTCTCCAAAGGATAATAAATCAAAGCCTCTTCACCTTTCTTAACAAACTGTTCAGAACTCAACTTTATTCTTCCCAATAAATTTTTCCTACTGGTTGGCCCATGATTCTTATCATGGTAGACGTCGAGTTCAAGCATGTCATTGAAAACATCAGAGGGTTTTTCCACGTTGAACTGAAGAACCTCGTTCCATGTAGGGTTTATGTCCCTCGTAACTGTCCTCGTCCTCTTCCTTTGCCCGTAGTAGTCGATCACAACGTAAGGACTCGACGCCCCGTGACCGTCTTTCGGTACTAGATTACGTGCATCAATCACTTCTACGACCAGTTTCTGAGTTGTTGTTGCCATGAGAAAACAAAGAAACTATCAAAAGAACTTGAGAAGATTTTTTCTTTTTCAAAAAAAAAAAAATTCAATGTTACATTATATTTTGGATGAAAAAAAGAAGAGGGTTTTTCTGGGTTCATAGAAATATGTCATGTAATGTGAAAGAGAGGGCAGTAGGAGCTAACTGGTGGGAAGATAAGGAGATTTAAAGGTGCTTAACTTAACCTTCAAGGAGAAATAGTCATTTGGATTTTGCTTGTGAAGCTGACACGTTGCTTTTTGTATTATGACAGTGAAGATTCTTTGGCTTTTATATATATATAACTTTGTTTAGCTTTTGCTTTTGGCGGTCCTTCAGCAACAACTAAGAAGATCTGAGATTTGATGAGCTGAGTAGCATAAAGAAGGCATGGGATATGGAAGCTTTTGTCAAAGATGAGTCACTTTCTTTTTGGAGTCACACCGACCAGGTCACTCTGTCATCCTCTCCAGCAACCCTTTCTTTTATAATAATTGGGTTATTTGACAAAGAAGAGGCAATTATCAGTGGCGTAGTCAGCACCACCCCCTTCTTTCTCACAATCCAATGAAACCCTGATTGCAACGTGTAGGGTATACTAGCCCATGCAGGTGGGATCTACCCTTTTGGTCACTTTTCTGAAACCGAGTGGAGGAAAGTTTGGCGGTAGATGAATTCTTGAAAGGAAAAGGAAATATGCTTATAATTGCAATGACATAAAAGGCAAAGATCCAAACCTGGTGTGTGAAAATGGTTCAAGTCTGTTTGACAAAGAGTCGTTTGCTTTAGCTATACTTTATAAAGAAATTTATGATGGATACAAAATTGTTGCTGATTCTAAAGAATGGAGGGGGTTTTCTGTATGGAAATGGTGATAGGTAAAGTTGGCTAAATTTATTTGAATAGAAAGTCATTTGGTTTTCATGGATCTGTCAAACTCAAAAGGAGGGTTGATAAATCTGAAGAATTCATTTCTTGGAACCTAAGCATTTGGCATTTCATTTTAGGCAATAAAAACAAAGTAGCAATATGTGTAATTGACATGTAAAGTAAGTTGATTTCTTTCAGCTTGAAGGGGGACTACTAAAGAGAAAAGGGGAGATGATAAGGAGTAGAGAAGGCTGCACCAAGCCACTAGGAAAATAGAAATTCACTATGTTTGGTAGACAAAAGGGAAGGGGAAAAAAGGAATGGGGGAAAAAGAAAAGGAAGCAGAACAGCTGCTGTACTGCAACAGTTCTTCCAAGAAATGGTTGGGAATTCAAACATAAAAAATGGTCAGATTTGGAGAATCATGGAGGAAGTAGGCCATTAGGGAATATTTAATTTGACCCTTTTCTTCCTTTAAGATTGGAATTACTTGAGGTTTCAATATGCTAAACCTTATGGAAAGAATAATAAAGAAATTAATAGCATATTTAACAGAGACCATTCCAATTTGTTGGAAGACATGGGGTGAAAGTACTTTGAAAACAGAAGACAACAAAAACAATTGTATTTAAAGTTAATAATATTCCAAGAATTAGGCGATCAAGGTTTTGTGTTGATTCTTTGACAATGAGATTAACCAATAAGTTAAAGGCGCTCAGGTAAATTCTTACCACAACTCTGCCCCAATTCCATTCAGCCAGAATATGCCTGAAAGTAGAGAAGTGTGAAAAGAGAGTAGTGAACTTTTTCTACTTAAACTAAAGAAACCAGAGAATACTAGGATCAAAGAATAAGAATGGTGGGTTTAGTTTACTATAGCAAAACCGTGTAGAGGTAGTGTTTTGCATCTCTAAAACCTACATTCTTTAAGTAAAAGCTGACAATCAAACCATGTAAAGCTCATCTGTCTGGTAATGAAAGGCTGAATTCTAGAACAGAAAGTGGCAATTTCTCATAAACTTAACTGTGCCTGCGGATGATATCAAACTACAGAAAAACAGAGGGAAAAAGATTGATATTGCAAGGATAAGTGGCACAAACAAAACATCATTATCAATCTAAACTTTCATTATATCAGAACCATTCTCTTTGGTACATATTCATCTGTCCTTCACAACATATCAAAATCAATTGACTAATTTCAATATGCTCCCGTATCTGCTCCAATGATCCATCTATTGAAAATCAACATTACAGTTAAAAAAGGTTCTAATTCGCTCTAGGAATTTTTTATATATTTGGCCAATAAGAGTTTATATATATATATAACAGAGGTTTTCCTATGAGAGACCTGAGAGGCTGCTGCACAAGAATTCACATTTTAGTTTCCCTGCACTATTGGTTAAGAATGCTTGGTTCTAACAAGTACATCAGGAGAAAAATCATTTTTCCTCATCAAGAAGAGTTTCTTCTTCCAGGGAGGTACAGCCTAGGACAGAACCACCTGCTGGCCTACACATGGGCCTGATATCCCTCCAGTTTAATGGCCTCCGTGAAGGATCACAAGCTCTCACCCCAGCTAACTTCACAACATCAAACCTGCCAGCTCCTACTTCCTCCCACTTGAGAACCTTCCCTCCAAGAACATATAATTCATTTCTCAGTGCAGCAAAACCATAACCAAAGGCCTCAAGTTCTCGGAAGTGGTCAGGGAGAACAACCGGAGGAACAGCACCAACAGTGATCCACTCTCCTCTTACAGGATCTCTTGCTTTAATTAAGCTCTCCCCCCAATCCACCACAGTATAAACTTGATCATTCCCCATCACCTGAACTGCAAATTGCATTGCTCTGGAGAAAGGCCATATGTCATCAACCGTGCACCATGTTTCATTTGATGGATCAAAAATTTCTGATGGGGTCTGCTCTGCCAAGCCTATCTGGTCACTCAGAACATGAAATTTACCTTTATATGATATGCCTAGGCAGTCCATTTGCGGATTGAGCATTGGTGGCAATTCCTCCCACCTGCAATTACCATTGAGTCATAAACCAAGCCAAGCAATCAATTTCTTAGATAAAAGAAAATTTTACAAATTTCAAACTATATTTTGCTAGATTCATAATCAGTTTTCTGTCAAAGAGTAATGGCACAAGAGGGAGGAGAGGGGGTGTTAAAGTGAGATGAAAAGGTAGGGATCAAACGGTGCAAACATATTTTCGACAATTTAAACATACACCACATATAATGAATGATGCACCAAAAAAAGCCTCAGAGAGCTAAAATAACATTTTAGCTGGTTTATCAATCCCTATATGATTTTATCTTGATGCATCTTGTGTATGAAGCTAGACTACACCTAAAAGTTGCTCTGATAAACCAGAGTTGCAAAACATGAAAAGCATTTGCAATAGTAATCAACTCCCATGGTGTATAGAGGAAAACAAAACGATATGATCTCTGAAGAAATGAAGCTTACCGATCACTTATTGGATCATAAACCTCAGCAAGAGCAAGCCCTCGAGGTTGAGCTGTATTGCGCCCTCCAGCAACATAAACCTTACCAGACATAACACAGCATGCAAAATGAGATCGAGGTGTTTGCATGCTTGTTAATCTGGTCCACTGTTTCCTAAATGGATCAAACTGCAAAACATCATTTGTAATCATAGGTGGTTGACGGGGATATGCAGTATCACGTGGCGCATAGGAGCCACCAATCACAAGGAGCCGTTTACCAACACACACACACGACATTCCAAAATGTTGCAAGCCATCATACTCAGTTGGAATCTTTGGCAAGGGATGCCATATATCAGCTGTGCGATCATAGGCAACCCACTGATTGGAACGTTCAGTGACAACAAATAACCAATCCCCAAGCCATCCTTGGTTAGCTTTATAATTCGCATACTCACTGCTGCGGATCAAATCTCTCCACCTCTTTGAGACAGCTTCAAGCACCCCATCGTAACCATGTGACAACTTGGCTAGACATCTCAAAGCCAAATCATCTGGTAGTCCAGGAAGAATAGCTTCTTTAACAGGTTCCCTAAAGTGAAATGCAACAGTAACAAGCTTATGACAATACGGAAACCACCTTAGGAATATAAAAAGGAAAAAAGGACAATCTGTTGGTACGCAATGATGAAAACCGTCCAGCATTCTCCCCTTTTTGAATAAAGGTCAGGGTTATGTCATTAACATTGCAAGAAGTCATGAAATTGTCAAACAAAAGGTTTTAACTCAAAATTTCCCTAAGCAAAGAATGGGCATCTTTTCATAGTTGTGAAAAACCACATAAATAAGTAACAGGGGACTAGATTTTCAAAGTGATTAATCAATTCTTTTACAATTTATGTCTTGATAAAACAAAAGCAAAAAGCTAAAAACTATATATATATATATATATATATATATATTCGATTAAGCTGGCTACAGATAACAAGCGAAATGATCAAAGGGACAAACTTCAAAAAATAAATTAAAAAGGAAAAGAACAAACACCATACGGGCAACAAAATAATAAGACTTACATGCTTCAAAAACCGGCCAAAATCAACTTCTAAGACGATTGAAACCTGCAAAACAGAGTGAAAAACAAAAAGATAAACAAGAACAGTACTTTCTCTATAATCTGATTGAAAAGTAGGAGGGAGAGTAAGGAAAAGGGGATTCTGGGTAATGGGTAATGAAGAGTTTTGTGATTTCCTTTTTCCTTCTACCTGACGAATGGATCAAAACGCAGAACTTTTTAAAGGGGAGGAAATGAGGAGAATATGGTAAGAGAAGAATTAAAAGGAAACTCGACTGTAGCCAACCTTTCATGTATTTTGGTTCCACTATAATGCGCCTATAGTTTTCTTGTTTGGGCCTCCAAAAATTAGGAATATATATATAAATATATATAACAATGTTTTAATTAATATTTTTAATTCAGAAATTTTCTCAATTTCGATTAAATATATTTTGAATTTTCTTTTAACATCATAATAAGTTTTCATTAAGTAATAAATAAATAATAATGATAATAATAGTAATCATAAAAATCAAATAAAACTTATATATCCTCTTAATAGTGAGATTAGTATGCATGAATTTTATCATGTCCTTGCAAGATTGGAGACTCCATTTTGCCTAAAATTACATAATATTATTTACATGAATACATATACATATTTACTCATGTATGATTAAGGTTAGAACAAACCAAAGGGATAAAGACGAGAAAAAAAGAAAATTCGATAACTGTATATCTGTCAAGAGATCTGTTCATGAATCTATTTATATCATGTAATTTATTGGAGATTTACATTTCTTTTTTTTCTAAAGAGCGAGATTTACATTCTTGATATACATATATACCCATCTATGTGCATATGTAAGATTTATGAAATGATTATGTCACTCTTAATGTGTGTATGTATAAGCTCATATGAATTTGTACATGTAAAAATAATAAGCAAAACAAAGTGAAAGGATAGAAACAAAAAAAAAAATGAAAGAAATATTTATGTACATTTGGCAAGAGAATAATACAAGAATCTTATTACTTTGTATTATAATATAATAAAGATTTCATTTTTTGTAAAGTCATATGACATTCTTTATATATATATATATATATGTGTGTGTGTTATATAAACATATATATATATATATGTACATATTTATATACACACACGTAATACAGATTCTTACAAATAATATATATATATATATAGCTACTCATGGTTTTTTTTTTCCTCCTTTCATGGCTTCTCAAGTCGAAGCAAGTTAATATGTGATAGCAAAGGTGGAAGAAGGCGGGCTAGTAAGGTTTTTGTCTCTTCAAAAGTTTTAAAATTTATTTTATTTTATAGACAATATTTTCATCCTTAAAATATGAAATTTTGACACCATCACTGTAATAATTTCCCCACTTTGCAAGTTAACATGACTTAATCGATCAATCTCATTGGTAATGGTTAATTCAGGTTCAATCTGTCTGGAAATTGGCCGGCATTGATTCCTGCTCGTACTGTATTTAATCTTCAACTTAATCTTGTCCCTTTGGCAATGTAGGCATCATCGATCCTGATTTGCATTTATATTTGTCCAAAAATTTCATTACATTTACTCTTCTGGGTTAGAACTATATATATGATCAAATGCTTTAAAATGTTCAAGCTGGATTCTACATTCTCAGATCATAGAAACCTTGATTGAAGAACATGTCAATTATGATCATATTGTACACTGTTTCGTGTACATTTATGTCTGTGTACCAATACAAAATTAATAAATATTTAGCAAAACCCAAATAATTTTTTTCATGATATTCTTTCAACCATAACAAAGAAGCACCAGCTTTAAAAAAAAAAAATTTATTGAAACCCCAATGTTCCATAGCTTCCAGGCATAGCTAGGTAGGCTTATTTCTATCCTTTGATTGCTGTAATTTGGATTATTTTAATTTAAAACGTTTTCTTTTTTAATTTTTGAAGTTCATGAGCATTCTACTTCACTTCAAAGGCACATAAATGTGCTAATGGTGATATTCTGGTATTTGATTAGAAGTGATGGTGATGGCTAGGTAATTGCACAGGAGTAAACCTTCATTTATCCTGCAAAGTAATACTATAAAGAGCCAAAAGAAAATGGAACAGGGAAAACAAAGCTAAACCCTAGCTAGTGTAAGAAAGTGATTATTTAATAGTTTGAAGGCATATAAAAACGCACTAAAACATTAATATATATTTATATAGAAGATGCATGTAAACTTCAATTGACATTGATTTCCGAGATAACAAACATAACATGTCAAGTACTAGCATTGGAAAACTCGTAAAATGAGAAATGGAGGGTGGGAAAATGAACAGGGAAAACCAGTGGCCAACACTGTCCAAAGTATATATGTTTCAAAAGAATTCAAATATAAAATGACACAAGGTAATAGGAAAGAAACATATCACTTTCTGTCAAAGGATGCAAAATAATTGGATAGACTGCTGCCTATTGTCTTCTTCTTTTTCCTTTTGGAATGATATCTACCCTTAATTTTCCCCTTAAGTACCTTCCTTCTTGATTATGGAAAATGCCGGTTTTTCTGTCGGTTGAGGGTACAAACTCTAGAAAAATTAAGTTAAGAGTTTATTGGAACTAAGAATCTTTTGCTGGTACAGAACATGAATCATGTAAACCACTAGTCATAAACTGTATAACTTGTAAACTTGAAGAACACTGTTAGGGTTTATGTGGTGTTAATCATCTACACTGCTCCAAAGGGAGACCACAAGAATAAAAAGAGAATATCGTTTTGGGTTTTTTGCTCTGACAGATGTTATTGAATAACTGAAACTGACAAACATATTAAATATTTTATGAATCCCATAAATCAAGAGTGGAATAACGAACCCTAAAATTAATTTGCAAGAGTTATCATACAACATATATAACACTATGTATGTATAGTAAGGAAACAAACGATATATACAGTACTTGTCCTACTTCATTTGTCTTGGAATCTAAAGGAGAGATTCAACAACTGATATATCCTACCAAGAAAATGGAAAAGACTGACTATGAAATATAAGTAACAAGTGAATTAGTAGGAGAAATAAGGATTAGTCTAGCAGTAACTTGATAAATATATTCTTCAAGAAAGACATAGAGGATATAATATGAATATATAAGATTGAATTCTACTGAAAATATGGCTAGAATATGTAGAATCAGATATATTCTCTTTATGGAGATTTAAGAAAAGAAATTATAATATTGAAAACAAAATAAAGATACTTCTTGCATCTATATATATCGAACCTTAGAGATCACAGCCTTGGGTTGATCTTTAAGTCTTGCGTTGGCAGCTAGGAAAAGCGTGGTGTGAGGAATGAAGCCTGGTCCGAGATCAATGATCAATCCCTTAAGTAATTATCAGATAAGAACTTATGGAGAAGGAGGGATCTTGGATCAAACTTCATTCCATACACCCTCTTTTCTTCTTCAAGAGAACACTCTTGATTAGTCTTACCCTCCTTATTTGCTCTCTCCCTCTTCTCTTATGAATCATGATCCTTTTGCTTAGTCTCCCTCTCAAGCACATGCAAATACATAAGGTAAAGAAATGGAAAGGAAGAAGAAGGATCTTGGGTCAGGCTTCATTCCAAACACCCCTTTCCCCTATACCTCAAGATATATCTCTTCATCTCTCCATTTCTCTTTCTTTGCTTTCATGATTTAACAATCGAAACTGAAGAAGGCTCTTTATCTTATGTATATACACACGCATGCACACACAAATCAAACAATATAAAGAAGAGAGACAGAGACAAGGATTTGGGATCAAACTTCTCATTCCAAACACCCCTTTTCCTTCTTTCAATGACCCTCTCTTTCTCTTTCTCTACTTTCTCATGATTCAACAATCAAACAAGGCTGCAAAACTCTCTCTCTCTCTCTCTCTCTCTCATGCTCACACAAACAAAGGAATGGATGATATAGCAGTATCCAAGAGGGGAGCGAGACAAGGGAGTATACGGAAAGGAAGAGAAGAAATAAACAAAAAGACATAAATGTGGAAAAGCACATGATAGACAGGTCACTATTAGCTTAAAATAATGAAAAGGCTGGTAGGTTTTTGGAAGCATGGTGTTGTCTTGTTCTAGAGCTTTAAGAAGAGAGAAAAAGAAAAAGAGAGACACAGAGAGAGTGGTTAGAAGAATAGAGGCTTTTACAGGCTACCCTCTGTGGAAAAAAAAGAGAAAAGAAGAGCTTAATTAGCACTGAAACAAAGGAGGAGGAAGGGCATGAGAGAGATTCAGAGAGGTGAATGGGCCTCCACAATTGGTATTTTAATATATTAACACCCATCATGTTTTAAGCATTAAATTACATGGATTTTACTTGTATGATATTTTCTAAAGTTGAGGGGTGCCTCAAGAAAAGCTATGTAACAACACTGACGGTATCTCCATCAGCAAGAAAAAAGAGCACACCGCCCAGATCAAAACGCATGATGGCACCACTCATTTCCTTGTTAATTAGTACAGCTATATTTTTTTATTCATTTCTTTTTCCTCATTTTGTGACAATGGGTATATTCTCAAGCACAACAAAGCTGTTAGAAAGCATTACTATTCCAAGAATACCAATAACAAAGTTTAAAAGACCCCAACATTTAATCTAAGTTTCTGTATTATTTTGGTGGTGAGGGATCAAATCACCACCATAGACCTAGCTAGGCTATTATTTAGCATGTACAATGAATTCAAGGGGATTAAATATTTTTTTAATTTAATCCTCCTGGTTTTGGTCTAATATGGCAAGGTTTGATTTAAAGCTTAGTCACAACCATTTGGAATTGACCAGCACAACAAAATCCTAGAGATTCTTTCAGTTGATGATGTTGAGTTGCACCAGGATAAGTATAAGTAATTTATCTTTAAAAGTGAAACTTACCAAAATGAAATGACTTGATTAGCACATATTGTTTTGAAGCTCAACATATATAATCCAATAACGTTAGTCTTAAAGTAGGGTAGTTAGTCTTAAAAGCAGAAATACTCTTTGATTATATTGAATGCTAATATATCCTAGGCAATCTTAATAAACCTTAAAAACCTTAAAGTTTTGGTTGGATTTTCTTGTCAACTCCAATAATTCATCCAATTTTAAAGGCTTTTAATTTGAAGCTAGCAAAGATGTCACCACAGCGCATAATGTTTGATGATGTATAAGAGAAATGGGTCCAACTCTCCAAATGACAATCATCACATAACAATTAAGAAATTATTGGGGATTAGATTAGTTTAAACT